CACCCCTCATCTTACGGCTGAAACCGCAATCGGAACTGTCTCCCTCTCCTGTCCTCACGGACAGTGTACAGAAACCGCGCAATGGTTTCCTGCTCCGAGAGACCAGCGCTGTTAAAGTGTTTCCGGACAACAAGCGCGAACTGATCTTTGCTCACGCGGTCCTGGCCGACGGTGCGACGCAGCGTTGAGTCGGAGAGGGAGTCCGACGAGGCGTCGGTTCGGTGGGAGTGGGAGTGGTTCTGGGATGAGGATGATTGAGCGCGGCGGGCGGCGAGGGAGGTTGGCGAGCGAAGGCCGACGCCTTGCGAGAGGATTAGGCGAGAGTAGTCGCTTGAAAAGGCGGAGGGCGTGGGAAGTTTGTGGACGTGGCGGTAGGAGTGGAGGATTTCGAGGGGGAGGTCTGTCCAGGGGAGCTGTAGGAAGAAGAAGGGGATTAGTTTATCGTCTGTTTAACTGTGTTGTGTGTATGGTTGCGATTGATCGATCTCTTCCAGGATGAAACTTACTCGGGGCTGTTCTTCTGCGTGCTGGTTGTCCACGACGGGTGCGCTGGTGATCGATGCTTTCTCTTTTGCAGCAGCCGGTCTGCGAGATTTTGTGACTTTGTGGTATTCTCTCGTGCCGCTGGAGGCTTCGGACCTCGAGTCATCCACGATAGCTGTGGTGCGCTGGCGCGGGGGTGCCATTGCGTCCCGGAGCTCGAGGCTGGAGGGATATGGAAATGGGGGTGTTGTTCAATGTCTGGAATTTGAATTGAGGGGTTGCTGGTAGTATCAAATCATACATAGACTCGCTGTATAAAGTAGATTGGGTGGATGGCGCTCTTAGTCTGGACCTGACACTTGAGATTCTCGTTTCCCCGGGCGGCCAGGTGTGGCAGAAACGTCATTTCTGCTTCTGGTTTAGTGCCTGAGGTGAACCTTGGAAAACAGAGAGATAAGGAGTAATCACGGAGAGTATTTCCTAATTTGGTACTACTGCCAGCAGGTGTGATACATTCGAAGTTGACTTGAAAGCCTACTTGTAATGCTGCTCTGAAGCTCTAGAGGGAATTTTTATACATCTATACACTCATACTTGCATTTCATCCTACCCACCCCATATCTACTGCGGAGTAACCCCATGGTAATTTGTCGCATTCTGCTAAGTTGACTCGTCTCCATCCACGTGTCAAATTATCTCAACAATATACTCACGGACATCCATAGTATAGACCAGATAACCCAAGGCAGTATTGCTGTCTATCTTCTTTGCTTTGACATTAGTACGTCCCACTTCACTCAAGGTTGTATACTCGCATTTGCGCCGGTTGCTGGGATTCTGTCGATGGCTGTGGCTTTTCTGGGCCCTTCCCTCTGGTTCTAGAAATCACATATGCAGTGGACTTGACATTATATTGGGTAACTAACTGTAATCTAGAGTACTAGCGCAACCTATACTGTTTGCAATCACTATATCGTTAGCTACAATTTAATAGGTACTCAAAGGCAGCGAAGCAACTTGAAGTATTTATTGTATGCGCTAGAGCCGTTGTTTTTCCACTCCTAAACCCACCAGGAATGAAAGCCACCAACCATAAAGGGAGACTAGGTTATAATATAGGGTTACAAAGTAGAGGACATCGACATGGAAGATAGGCGTGCGTAGTTTGGGATTGAGCTAATGGTGAGATAGTAGATATACTAGACACTGCTGCACACCATCATTGGTTAAATCACAATGAGTAATTGTGTATGGCAGCGTAAGAAACTGACAGTTGGAGCTGCGCGAGAACGATAGTTGGAGGAATACCCACAGGTGGAAAGCAGGTGCCGTAACATCCATGGATATGCCATCGTCTTTAGATGCTCCCCTAGGGTTCGCACCCGACTTCGTATGTCTGATACTTTTCACGGCATTGTTTCTAGTGACACATGCGACTCGATCATTTTGAAATACAATATCTCGTCCACTGCTTTGGTGATGGCAGATTCCCGCCAGCTCATGATTTGCGACCAACTACCTTCAGTCTTCGCTCGATTTGGTGGTTGAAAGTGCCTATTGTTTTGTTCCTACCTTGGCTTGGGCAACAGCTTCTTCTTCTTCTTCTTCTTCTTCTTCTTCTTCTTCTTATTGTTCTTGTTGTTGTTGTTGTTGTTGTTGTTGTTGTTGTTGTTGTTGTTGTTGAACAAACCAACTTTCAAAAGCTGATGGTAACAGTCCAGCTGCTGCACTAGAGTAGAGGAGATATCTAATTAAAGAATATTTTCCATCTCACAAGGCTCAACCTCTATCATCTATTCCCCTAAATACCACTGTCGAAACATTGATATAACAATCCTAGCACTAATAGATCTAATAAAGGTCGACCACCAGCAACAGTTCTGAAATTCCTCCAAGTACTTTAGCTACATCTCGGATTTGAAGTTCCATGTACTCACTATGGCCGCAGAAATTGAGGTCGTCCCTGCCTTAACCCGCATCTGCCCTAATCGCACCTGCCCAAACCATGATGGCTCGCAACGTAAATACCCCCGAATCCCCATGTCTCCTGTCTCTTCTTTTTCTTCTTCGGCCCTCAGCCGATATATGACGGTCTGCTCTCTTTTTCCGCTCATCCTATTTTTTCTGCCATGTCTCCTAAGCTATGCTGGTCGATTACCCCCTCCGGGACGCCATGAAACGGATGCTTGCTTGTTTGAAGACGTGGCAGAAATGCGGATCCCCATTCTACCAACCACTTGCCTTCGAGACTGAGAACAAGTGATTGATTCATTATTGGATGCTGACAATCCGATGAAGCCTGATATTATTGACTGTATGCTGAACTTTCGAGGCAGAAGGTGCTTGTGTATCCGAGTCTCGCCTTCTCCTTCGAAGAGTCCCTGCATTCATGATATTCTTTGATTTTTATTTGTGGTCTTTTTACTTGGTTAAAGTTTAGCAATCCATAAAATGAAGTTTCTGAGACGCCATTTACATGTTGGCAAGCGAATGGGCTGTCAACGAGTCAAAGGCTATAAAAAAAGTAAGCAATACAAAGTTCGGGCATACAGAACATAGAGCAAATTGTACGATCCACGGTGCAAAGCTTACACAGGAATGCACGAATCCGGAAATGCAAGATAAGTCGCCTGCACCGGCGCAACCACACTATCGTAGAATTGCTGCCGAAATTGAGAGAAACTAAAATCCTTGTAGAGATCCCGTCCCTGAAACACGAACTTCACACACCGCTCCGCGGCATATCCATAAGAGTCTCCCGCAAGACGGTATACCTCATCCAGCTTGCTCAGCGCAGCCTGGTAGTCATCAAGCAGCGAGGCTGGCGTCATGCTTTCACCGGTCTGACGACTCTCCGCAAATGACTTGTTGGTGCAGAGCTCGATGAGGAGAATGCCAAGTGCGAAGACTGTTCTGTTGGGAATGAGATGGATAAAGTCATTTGCAACCGGCTGCTCCGGGTTTGTTGGCGGTAAAAATATATACGATGCACACGGGTACCGAGAGAAAATTTCCGGGCCGCCTTGGATTCTCTCGAGAAAAATGTTCGCTTGCTTTTCGTCCCAGTGGTCACCAAGCCAGGGACTGCCACTCAGGTGCAAAACTGACCAGGCGGTGGAGGCGGCGATGCCGTACCTCTGTTTGGTGGACAGTGAAGTATATTGGGTTTGTCGCTGAGCTGATGGCTCGTGAGATGAGAGTAGAGACTTGAGAGGAACTGCTTTGATGATTTTTGGCAACTCTGTTTGGCTGTAGTCGAGAGAGAATTGTCGACCTTGATCCACGTCTGGGTCTTTGAGGAAGCCTGCAAGAGTCCATCGATTGCATTCTGTGCCTACTGCGCGACAGAGGCTGGTTATTTCGGTACTCGCTGTGGCTGACACAGTCGTCGGTGCCGTTAATAGAACCGGCGGAGTTGGTGGCGGTGAGGGTGTCCGGGACAGTGAACGGAATTTGAAGTGTGGCATCCTAGATCTGAGGGAAGAAGATAGGGGAGAAGCTCTGGCGGGTTTGGGTGGTGGTGTCAGTAAATCAGGAACCGAGCTGGCTATCTTTCGAGGAGCATGTGGTGTAACATGAACCTTTCGCCATGTATCAAGCAGCTGGGGCGTTTGTGAGTTTGTTCCGTACGACAGGGCCACTTTGAAAGGTTTAGGTGCATTAGATTCAATCGTCTCCCAGTCAAGATCGATGGCAGCTTGGTGAGGCGATGAACAGGCACAACGGAATCCAAGTTCGAGTGCTCGGTGAAGAGAGCTTAAACACTGACGGATTGAATTGCAACGATCGATATTGAAGCGGCGTTTGAGATATTGGACTTTGCCACTGTCATCTTCCGCGGGCACTTCAGTTTTCTCAACAGACTTCCGTAAGTCTTCATTCCAATGCCTAAGGTCCTGAATCACTTTATTGCGCTTTTTTGTGCTAAAGCTATGTTTCACTCGATGCCATTCCCATTGAACCCTATCTTGAAGAGCATCCGGCTAATCATATAGTCGCAGATTAGCTCGGTTTTGATCTTTAGCAACAGCACTTTATACCTTTTCATTAATGTCGATATCTAGGCTCTTCAAGAGTCCAGCAGTAACATCATCCATACGTTGAATGATGGAAATTAGTTCGCGAGAGATACTCGAGAATTTAGTATCAAAGCATTTGCGTAGCTCTTCCCTCGATGGCTCATTATCAAGTCCAAGGTTGCAAAGAGTCGTCTGTAGTTGTCGATTTTGCAAGATCAGGTCGGTCCGGAAAGTCTCTATTGAGGTGCGGTAATTGTGAAAAGCCTCGAAAGGCTCCACATACTTCTCAAGAGCCCAGATTGCGATTGGTATACCGCCCAAAACAATACCAGTGATTTCAGCCATGGCTGTGGTACATCCACCTCACTGATTATAGTCAGCTAAATTCTTATCGCGTGGGCTATCTCACTCACCTACAGTTCCAAAGGGTTACTTACTCCAATAGTAATGAATAACATCTAAGTGAACTTGCCTACAAACCAGTATAATTCGCGACCTATGGATGCACCGACGTGTTGCGAAACCTGGCGGGAGAGGGCGGTCATCGACGTCGCAGAGCCTCTGTTTGAGCGCGGGGCTCAAGATGTGATCTATTCCTGCTGGCGTCAATGCGGTGGGCGGTAACCTGGAATTTTCATGCTGCATGTGGCAGGATCTGATTTGGCCAGCCAGTGCAGGCTTGGATGCATGAATGCAGAACTAGATCCATATAGTTATGGTGTTCGTTGGCACGGAAATTCCTGCGCTTAGGGACGTTTCTCATCATTTGCCCCCACCTTGCCGGCATCAACAAAATCCCGCTAACATGTTGTAAACATCTCAAATTAGTGCACTTCACGACGGCCAGACTCTTGAATTCCTTACCGCGAAGCAATATTGAGGCGGTCGCTCTTAACCAGAACTCCCTTAAGCTCGCCTTCATGGCGGCCCTCTCAACCGGAGTGTCTGGTCCATCTCTTTCGGAGTTATACATAGAGTGCATACAGTCATTTGGAGAATTCCTTCTCGCCCTCAGCGATAAGGATTGTCGTGTTATCTGTCTTGGGCAGGTTCATCTTTCCGAGATACTGGAAGAGTATGGAAGGACCAAGGTCTGGGGCGATCAGACTAAGGCAGATCTACCGGCAAGAGCTCGCGGGTCTCTAGACGACACCCTCCGGCACGATGTTGAGCTCAAACATTTAGTGCAGGCCATTCTCATGCGACTAAAAGCACTCCTCAGCCAAGGCAAGTCGTACAGATGGGGTACTTGAGATCTAATCTAACCTTGCTTTTAGCAACATATATCGCTAGAAGAAAGCATGATCCTGTACTTGGATCAGATCATGACTCGATTAGCAGTGTCAGCGCCGACTCTGATTCCGATTCGAACGACGATGGTGAACACCAACACTATAGGATGCCAAAGATTAGTCTGCTTGTCCAACAGACGCTGGAGCAAATTCGATCGCTGTATGACCTGTCCGCTTTGCTACGGCGCCCTAAGATTGCGGACAAATATATTCGCTCTGTTAACTCAAAGTCACATATAGCTACACTGAACAAACCTGACCACTTGCCACTAAGTGTCGGGTTCAGCAGGTCTGATGAAACCCACGTAGTGGAAAAGGTGTTGCAATGGCGTGGGTTGACTAAGAGCGCGCGGGGTATCGATTTTAAGGATGAGGGTGTTGCTCCGATGGGACAAGGGTTGACGAAGTGTTATGTTGAAGACATTTCGTGGTTTTGCCAACGGCTTGCAGCAGCGAACACAAGACGACGTGAACAATTTCAATACTGGGCTGATCATCCATATGACCCCAAGCATGACCCTACCAATGCAACCCGACTTGTAACACCAAGTCTAGCCCAGATCCGCTCCAAAAAACAGGAGCCACAAAACCGAGCGTCGGCCTTTCAGTCTTCCATTCCCAATGTCCCGCGTGAAGGGCCCAGGTCAGCTGCGTCGAAGCAAAGTTTCTCTACTGCTGCTGTCTCAGACATTCACGATACGAAGACCAACGTACGACCACGGACTGTCTACGCGCCCACAGCCATTGGCCAAGGCCGTTCCAATTCTGTACCAGATCCTCCGAAGATAGAAATTGGAACCACTTTTTCATGTCCGTACTGTGGGGCGACGCTCGAGTCTAGCGAGATGGAGAACAGGCAGTCATGGAAGTGAGTCATCCCTCTAGCACTACAACAGTTCAATCATTCTGACCAGATATTTTATAGGCGTCATGTATTTCGCGATCTCCGTCCCTACGTCTGCACATTCGAAGACTGCCCGAACGGTGGAAAGCTGTACGTCAGCCGCCATGACTGGATTTATCACGAGCTTCAAATTCACCGGCGCAATTATGTCTGCAAAGTATGCCAGAAGATGTGTTCCAACAGGAAGGAAATGTCAGCGCATCTTCGAGAACACTATGATGAATCAATTTCGCCAAGTCAGTTGGGCGTCATTCTAGATCTCTGCAATCGCCAGGTGGATGTCTTAGGCGAAGAGAAAGACTCGTGCCTCGTCTGTGGAGAGGAACTCTCATTGTCGGCATTGCAGGGACATCTTGCCGCTCACATGGAGGACATCGCCCTCTTCGTATTGCCCAATACCAATGAAGAAGAAGATATTAGAGATTCAAAGGCCTCGGTGCAGGTGGCGAAACTAGAGTCTAAAGGCAAAGCCAGTGGTACAGAGTCAGAGTCAAGCAGCCTTGGCTATTCTGCAGCCGGAGATTACAGGCAAATCCCGACCGATTTCTCAAAGCTTCTCACTAGCGAAGAGGTGGGATATACTTCAAAGTTTTTGTCTTGGAGAACAATAGACGATGACAATGCATCGGTACCGGTTGAAGCAATGATGGAGACGAACAAGACGAAGCTCGGCGAGGACCATCCCGACACGCTGACCAGTATGGCCAATCTGGCGTCGATGTATAGTGATCAGGGCCGGTGGAAAGAGGCTGAGCAGCTCCAGGTGCAAGTTATGGAGACGAGCAAGGCGAAGCTCGGCGAGAACCATCCTAGCACGCTCACTAGTATGGCCAACCTAGCGTTAACGTATAGTGCTCAGGGCCGGTGGGAAGAGGCCGAGCAGCTCCAGGCGCAGGTATTAGAGATGAGCAAGGCGATGCTCGGCGAGAACAATCCCTACACGCTGACCGGTATGGCCAACCTAGCGTCGACGTATAGTGCTCAGGGCCGGTGGGAAGAGGCCGAGCAGCTCCAGGTACAGGTGTTAGAGACGAGCAAGGCGAAGCTCGGCGAGAACGATCTCTACACGCTGACCGGTATGGCCAACCTAGCGTCGACGTATAGTGCTCAGGGCCGGTGGGAAGAGGCCGAGCAGCTCCAGGTACAGGTGTTAGAGACGAGTAAGGCGAAGCTCGGCGAGGACCATCCCGCCACGCTGGCCAGAATGGCTAATCTCGCTTTCACCTGGAAGTCTTCAGCTCACGATGCTAAAGCCATCAATTTGCTACGAGAGTGCTTAATCAAGCAGAAGCAATGGCTCGGACTAAACCATCCGAGTACTTTATCTAATTCTGAAACACTGCTGGAATGGGAAACAGAGAGCCTGGATATACTTCAGACAAGCTAGATACTTGAATATCCCATGTTCAGATAGCAATTTCTGCTCTATATGTTTACTCCCTCAAATGAAACGTCCCATAATAGAATGAACTGGTGCCTTAAGGAAAGTAGCGAGCTATTTTGGCAAGAGTATTATAAGCAATTTATAAAATCTTTTGTCACGTGAGATCTTTTTTTCATTACGAGTCTACTCACACAAAAACTAAGCAAGTCAAAAATGGATCAACGTCTTTCGGAATAGGGTTCGAGAAAGATTATATGGAAGCAAAATGGTGAAATTGATTTCGATCCATCTTGTACTTCCAGCAGAACTTACCAGCGGGCGTTTCATAGACTCTTGACACGTCCGAATTTCAACATATAATGGACCTCCGATGCCAATTTAGGGTTGCCACCACCTTTCTCTCTAAAATTTTGGGTCTCGTCGCGCGTCTTCTATAAAAGGGAAATTATTCAAGTGAGGATTAAAAATTAAATCAAGAAATGCCTATATACCGCGTTTTTTTTTAGAGGTCAAGAAGCGACTAATTATAGATGAGGTGACATTGATAGTTTCGTTACATTCACATTCAGAGCAACCCTGGGGAGTCTGTGCGATTACAAAATCCCTCTACCTACTTCAAAGTCAAAGCGAGCATCTATAATTCATGTTGAAAGAAAGAAAGATTCACGGCTGTTGTACGTAGGCTTATTAGTAGGGTGGATGATTCAAGAATATATATTGTTGGCTGAGATACTCAGACGGCTTCCTCTTTTGACGTCATCAATTTTGTTTTCAATGATTAGTATACTCACATCTTTATTTGAATATTTACAGCCTTTGCTATTCAATGTTTTAACATTCCCGTCCGCGAAGAGGCAAATCTAGGGTTCGAAGATATAGCGAGTCGAATCATACACTCCAGATCCAGACAGCAAATTTTCATCAGATCTCCACACTTGCCAATACAGAGTGGCAAAACTCCACAGGGTCTCACCGCTACATGCGGAGTAGACTGGGTATACAAAACCCGGAGAAGAGGAAGGATAGTTATGTCCCAAGAATTACCTAAGAGCTATATCCGAGGAACTTCCGTTATCCCGAGGCTCTCCCATTGATCCCGAGGCTTGCCATGGTATACAATGGAAGACAAGCATTCTGTGCAGCGCTATTAGACGGGAAGATCCTAGGGGATTGCCTGCATGGGTAGTAGGTCCGCGCATCCAGATCATCCCACGGCTCACCCCAGACTCTTAACCTCGGAGGAACTTCGGGGTGGCACGGTAGTTAGGAATTTTTTCTCAAAAAAGAAAACCAACCCCCCATACAGGACATACAGCATGGAATGATAATAATAGGTGCGGGCAGTGTGGAGAGTACCAAATAATACAACTCTCGAACCAAAAAAGTAAAAAACCGGCACGGTGACTGCTGGAAGAGAGAGAGAACCCGAGTCGGCACGGCAATGCCGAGAGAATTTCGCCCGAGTTGAACAAATCGGGAGGCTCCAGAGACGGGAACTGACACAGGGGCCAGAAAAAAAAAAAAAACCTATCAAGTCTCACCGAACCCCTTTTTGAATTATTGTTACTTGACTTAGTGCTTGCTCCGTGAAAAAAAAAAAAAAAAAAAAAAAAAAATCTATTTCCTTGAATTTGCTATCAAGGAGTGCTTTATAGTGCCTAAAACTACCTACAAAATAGATATCCCCATCTATACTACACTTTAGACGAAAATGGATAGCCAAGACCTGGCATACCTTCCTCTTTCTGACTTGGATAAAATAAAATAAACGCCCCCTGATCATCGTGGAGTTTCGGTAGACTCCCATATCGGCACTAAGCCCCGCAACTAAAGAAAAATGCCATAAGCTTGTGCGAGAATGTCACCATGTCGTCCTCCGAGATCACCCGAGGGTATTCTCTGTCCAGCTAGCCCTATGGGCTGATGTCGTGGTCTGGTACCTGCAGAAGAATGGTCTAGGTTATGAGCTCTGTCGTCATTCGCGATATGTACATGGTCATCTAACATACCACATACAACATCCTTAGGTCAGATTGGCGATTATATCCGGATCAATTAAAGACGTGCTTAATACGTCTCGTATTTGAATCTCTTATCAATGTGGGCAACAAATCTGGAGAAAACACATGGCCCCCCCCCTTCAATGACGCCATCTTCTCGCTCCCCAAGGTACTTCGTACCTACCCCATTTTACGTACACAATGCACGGCATGCAGCTGCACAGGAAAACCGAGGCAGCCACACACATATGCATTCCAGTCACTCTTATCAAACCTCCACATCCCGCATTCCTGACTTGAGCGAAGCCAAAAAGATAAACACATGATTTCCGCATGTGAATATCTGAACATGTGAAACTAGCTATCTCCCCGCTTCACGGTATCCCAATGGGGAAGACAGAGTCCGGAGCTCCCGCAGTTATGCTTTTGTGCCGGTTTTCAATAGTTCAATTCAATAATCCAATAATCACTAAAATGAAACCCCTATACACGTGCTAGCGATAGCGCAACTGGTTCGGAGCGGACTCCTCCCGCGAAATGAAAATACGGGAATATCGATCTCGGAGATTCGCCCGTTATGGTGTGTGTTTGGGGCGAAATGGGTTAAGCCACGGATTCCACTGTGATTGACAAAGGGAGAGGACTTTTAGTACGGAGTACGGAGTACCCTTTTTTTTTTCCCCTTCGTCCACCCCCTGTTTTTCTAGTGGGTTAATGGGTTAGGTAGGCTTATTCCCACACCCTTGAAAATTCAAACCAAAGCTAGGATCTGCTTCATCTCAAACTAAGTGATCTACTGCATATGGTACCTGGTTGTAGCGTCCTCCAAGACTTGGGTTACATAAAAACTGTGGTCAATGTGGATCTGATGAGCGACAGGGGCATTGTGTTCCGTAAGTTGATCCCGGCTTCCGCGAGCGGTTGAATTATGGTACTCAGGCAAATATGGGGTAAGAGAAATGACGATAAATCGCTCAGTGGAGTTGAAAAGATAGAAAAATTTTTCTCCCCCTCTACGTATGTAGGTGCCCGAATGGGATTATGGTGGAATTTGGGGGGGAGTGTCGGGGCTTCACCGAGAACTGGACACGGTAATGGACAGTCTTCCCCGCCTCAGTTTCTGTTTTCTCTCTCTTTTTCTTTGTTTTCGTTGACGCTATCTATTCCCCAGAATATCACATGGTCTCCAGATAGTCTATTAGAACATAGATTGTCGCAAGATAGGGTGTAATCTCCCGGACAAATGTAAGGATTCCACCAATGGCCTGATCGCGGACTCCGGAATAGCGGCCCCGCATATGGTGATATCAGTATGAGGCCATTTGCGCCGCTTATTGGGTGCAGGGGAGCGTATTGTTCCAGAAGGTGTGGATCGCTGATCACTCGCCTTGGCGGAGTTTGGCAATAAGCAAGAAGTGAGTGTCCGTGGAAAATCCAAGATTGGCAAGAGCGTAAGATGGGGTTGACCTCGATTGGGAAATCCTTTACGTAAGCACATGCAAAACCCCCGAGCTGATTAGGGTTGCACCTGTGAATTCTTCAAAGCATATGTGTCTTCTTGAGAAACATTCGCAGTAGCCTACGTAGACTATACCCCCACGCTGTACAAGGTAACTGCACCCGAAAGGACACCCCATCATTCCTTGAGTCTTGTGGAATGTTGCTCCAAAGCTAAACCTACCCCGGATTCTCCCTTAACTGAAATTACTTCCCCGCATCGAGACCTGCCAAGCATTACTAAATGTCACCTTAAGACATAATGGGACATACTACCTACAACTGTACTCCATAAGTTATATAATGAAGCATCCAAAACCACCCTATTCCCCCTTTTGCAGCCCACCCGGTAAATTACGTCGTCGTCTTGCTGACAGGTGGAGCCTCGCTCGGTAGGATGGGTTTCAGTCTCCAGGCAGCAAGACAAGAGACAGAACCTAGCGGCAGCGGCGCAATTGGAAACAGAGCGCAAAACTCGAGTTGATCCCCTGTTTTTAGTTGGCGTGTCAATTTTTCTTTTTTATATATATGTTTATCTTTGGCTTTCTATTAGGCGCTTTCAGCTTGGATATTCCTCGCGCTGAGATGTGAGCACGTCATGACGCACACCGTGTTGGATGTAGTACAGCCAGTAGCAACTGCTGAATCCCATGTAGCAAGGGGGTGCGGGCTGAAAAGGGTCGCATCCAGACCCCGACTCGTACACTACTGGCTCGCACTAGAAAATCTCTGTAGGGTTGATATCCAGGAAGAGGGTGTGAATAATAAAGAAATATAAAATGTATTTTCATCGTTGTCTCTCAAGCCCCCTCGATGCTATCTTGTGTGACGATCTGGGGATGTGCGGGGTGTTGATAGGGAACCGTTAGGTACTAGAAATGAATATCACTGGTCGCCAACGACATTTTGACTAAGAAGATAGGTACCCTCGAGGATTGAATCCCAGTCCCGAAAGAGCTCGGAAGGAAAAAGGAATTCCGCACGGAGTCCAACGAGGCTCCGGACTGATAACGGAGGGAGTCCGGGGATCTCCACGGTCCTAATCGAGCATTGTTGCGTTCATTTTCATTTTGACTTTTCATTTTCTTTCATTTTCCCTTTCCCTTCTTCCGTTTCTGTTTCGCATTTCGTCTCTTTATCTTGGCCCTATTTTTGGTCCGTGGGACTGGGGGTTTTGCTTTTTCCCCCTCCATCCAGGATCGACGTACCCGCCCTGTGCGCAGGTCTGCATGCCAGAATAATGGGATTGATCAGCATTGTCGGGGGTGAAAAGTGGGCGGAATGCTGAGAGTGACGAATCCCAATCTAATTTTCAGGGATGAGCGGTAAATTCAAGTTTACATGCTTGCAACGCTATAAGTAGGTAACCTGATGCACAATATACAATACTCCGTATATTGCGAGGTTTCCCCACATGGCGTGATGGATCGACCTTTATGTAAAGGGGCGGCGCACGACAGCGATATCGGAGGATCACATTCTAGGGGCGATCGCGACGATCAAGACAGATTTGGCGGGAAGATTGAGATGTCAGTAGCAGATCGCTTTCTGCGGGTGCGGTTCCGGTTCTCTCCCCAAAGCGTATCGCCGGGGGATTGTGGGGTAGGGATAAGGTATGGAGCACTTTCCATATTTTTTATGTTTTGGAGAACGGCGATCACCGGGTATGTCGGCTTGATAAACTTGGTAGATCATGGAGAAAAGAAAACTGAATTGTCTGGGGCGTATACGGCTTATGGGATGAGGTCCTGTAGCCTTAGTATTACGATTTTGGACAATCGGCAATTGGAACTACCGGTTCTGATTTCCCCCCCACCTTCCACTATCTACGATGTACGTCGTAATTCGAAAGGCAGTATGGAGTACGGGGTAGCTTTGTGGATCTTTCGATTGTGAGGACCTGGTTAGGAAAGTGAGTCGAATTCTGGGGAAGGGAATATATCGGAACTTTGAATCCGATATGCCTGCTGTTCTCTGTAAATAGGATTCAATTTCTACTACCCCGTGCGGAGTACATAAAGAGTAATAGATCTTACTGAATTCGTCACCTGAAACAGAAATGCCCTACACCCTAGTTTCATGATCCCCTAACAAATGTACTATGTCCACGTTGCGAAAAGTCGGCAAAAAGCGGGTAATTGCTTAGACTCGTACCTGCTTCTTGGATTAAAATAATACAATAAGAATTAATTAAATATCAAACTATCACTTCTTGCAGATCGCCACTCCGAGTCCGGACTTTATCTAGAATGGTGCCATATTCCCCGTGGAGAAAAATGGAGAACTCCAGGTTGCGGCAGTGTATCGTCGGGTATATTTGTGAGCTCATTTTTATTTCCTAAAACCCAGGAGAACAGGGATTCGTGCGATTTCTTCCAGATCCCCGTGCAACTCAAAAGTACGAACTCGGTAGTCGGGCCGGCATAGGAATCTGGGCCCTGATTACTCCCCGTTATCTTTCGTCCACGGGTCTTTGCCTTTTTGTCTGCTAAATGATCCTGGTTTGCCAAGGGGGTCATTAGCCAATATCCCCAGGGAACTGTGGGGGTCGGCTGAATTTGCTGTTCCGGGAGTAAAACTTCCGTTAAGGATCTGCCACTAAAGAAACCCTGCACTGGACTTTGTACCCCCAATCGTATACTTTACATTGTACTCCGGATAACAATATACAAAATACAAAATAAAACTAAGGTAGAGGTGACCGTATACACTTTACTTTTGTACTGTGATAACGGAGTAATGTATCCCGGACCCCTAAAGATAACGCCTTGTCAAAAGGGTCGACCGGGGCTCTCGGCGAGACGGCCTTGCCGAGTGGGCGTATCTTTGCCCCCGTCCCGTTTGTCCCGCTCCTCGGCCCTTTAGTTGGCCTATTCCATAAAGCCGGGGGAACTTCGGATGAAAGTAGCCTGTAAGCGTATCATGGTTGCCCTCTAGAGAAAGCGTGAACATATACTACACACTGATAGGAGAAAAATACATAAATAAATTTTAATCTATTTAATAGTCCTGGGAATCGGGGCCCCAGAACCCCGGTAATTACCCTGCGAGATTCAGCCGGCCAAGAAAAGGAAATCTGCGCCCCCTTGGTCATTTTCTATACTTGGACATCTTGGCAAGTCGGGGATACCGCTGTCTTCTTGCGCAAGGAATGCAGCCAAGTGCTCATCGTGCAGGGGCTGACACTGGCACATCTAGTCCCTTGGTCGAGATACGCGGCTTTGCGGCTACATGGCAGGTGCATCAGGGCTATCAATAATTGGATGATCCGCACCTATCAGGACTGTTAGTTCGCTTTATCGTTCCACAATCGAGTTTGGGAGTCTTTTTTTTTTTTTTTTAAAAAAAAATACTTTTTTATTTTTTAAAAAGAAAACAGGAAAATTCATATCTTACCCCAAAATCCGGGGCATTGTCGGCGAACCTGAGTGGAGGATTCAGGGTTTTGTAAGAAGTACAGTCAATATACGATGTAGGGTTCGGGGAGGATGATTCCCCCGGATGATGAAGCCGCAGAGGAATTTGGGGTGACCCGAGTCATTTTCGTGCCTCATCTTTTGTACTGGATGACCTGTTGATTGTGTTTTTCGCGTGACTACATGATTACCCAAAATTTAACCTTGTGAGATTTCACCATAGTCGACATCATCGATGATCCTCGCTATCGTCACTCCGTGACAGGATCAGATGGTCCCCGGGATCTCCATTGTACACGGGTCTGGACTGGCCCGGCCTAGAACGACCGTAACCCCCAGACTTTGACCCTTCTGGAGAATATCTCAAGAATTAGATGCCTGGAGTACTATAGATATATACATATATAATTTTATAATCTGGAGTGCTGGGGACCCCAGGTTCTGCTCGTCATCGGCTCTCCGCATGCCATCATTTTTTTAATCATCCACTCTGGGTAGCTCGTCATTCAGAGATAGGCCAAATCAGAAGTCCAGTAGAAATTCCCAAATTCCCCCATGTTCTTGATAAGAAATTCTCCAGAGGCGCGATAGCCGGATAGGGACACGCACCCTCACGCCACACTGTTCTTCAGGAAGAATGCGAGTCCCCACATTTTTACTTTATGCAGTTACGTAGTTTCTTGATTCTTTTTTGGATATTCTTTCGTACTTGGTTGTAGGTATATACTGCATATTAGAGTGATGAATATGCTTTTTAAATTTAAATGTCTTAAATAGTTCATTAGTCAATTGTATCTATATATTGCAACTATATGAGGTCGATCGGTGTACATAACCCCACTCGAGTAAGGGTACGCCTTTTCTTTTTTTCTTTTTCTTTTTTCTTTTTTCCTTTTTGGTTTTTAGAATTTCCCCTTTTGGAATTTTCCAATTTTTGAATTTTTTCTCAAAATTTCCCACTTTTCCTATTTTGCCCCAGTGTCCCCTTCTTCTCCCCCACACTTGACCTTCTAACCTTGAGAATCTCTGCATTTTTTATTTTATTTTATTTTTTTATTTTTTCCAATTTTATTTTAATTCAATTTCAATTTTTGCTTTTCGAACTTGATTTTTTTTCAGAATTTTCTTTTCTCCAAGTCCGATTCCGACACTGCCCCTTCTCCCCCGATTTCTTCCTTCCCCCTCCATTCCCTATATTATTTGTAACTCCCCAGATCGTCTTCTCCAGGTTCCTTTTTTTTTCCTTCTTTCCCCCCTGCTTTGTTCCTCCCCCACAAACACTACTCGACTACTTGTCTTTACAACAAAGCGAGCCATCAGCATTCTCTGCGCGTCACTCCGATCCCGATCGACCTTCTATCCCAATTCGGGTGTTTGATCGACGTTAGCTCGGGACCCCTGCGATAAAACCGTCCTCGGTCCTCTCTTCAGAACAAACCTTCATAAATTCACACCAGGGAATTCACATGCCACCGCCGGCTTCTTCAGTGGGATTTTCAAACCTACTTAACCCTCACGATACTTCTCCCGACTCGACACCCTCGACCCCAGGAGATTCTTCAATGGCTTCTTCAGTTAGCTTGTTACCGCCTCTCATGAAGGGTGCGCGCCCCGCGACCGAGGAGGTCCGCCAGGATCTGCCCCGGCCGTACAAGTGTCCTCTTTGCGACCGTGCCTTCCACCGCCTGGAGCACCAGACGAGACACATCCGCACCCACACTGGCGAGAAGCCACATGCCTGCCAATTCCCTGGTTGCACGAAGCGCTTCAGTCGATCAGACGAACTGACTCGCCACTCGCGCATTCACAACAACCCCAACTCGCGTCGTAGTAATAAGGCTCAGCACCTGGCAGCGGCCGCGGCCGCTGCAGGCCAGGACACTGGCATGGTCAACGCTGCCAACATGATGCCACCTCCAAGCAAGCCCATCACTCGCTCCGCCCCAGTCTCGCAGGTTGGATCCCCGGATGTTTCGCCTCCTCACTCATTCTCCAACTACGCCAACCACATGCGCTCAAATTTGGGTCCTTACTCGCGTACCACCGAGCGCGCTTCCTCTGGAATGGATATCAACCTTCTGGCTACAGCTGCGTCGCAAGTAGAGCGTGACGATCACATGGGCTTCCACGGCTCGCGTGGCCACCAAATTTTTGGCTCCCGTCATCACGGCACTAGCCGAGGCCTCCCTTCGCTCTCCGCCTATGCGATTTCGCAGAACATGACCCGTTCTCATTCCAACGATGACGATGATGGCTATGGCCATCGTGTCAAGCGCTCTCGTCCCAACTCCCCCAACTCCACTGCTCCTTCTTCTCCCACTTTTTCTCATGATTCTTTGTCCCCTACCCCCGACCACACCCCCTTGGCCACCCCTGCACACTCACCCCGCCTGCGCCCTCTCGGTGCCAGCGAGTTGCATCTGCCTTCGATTCGCCACCTGTCCCTCCAGCACACTCCTGCGCTGGCGCCTATGGAGCCGCAACCAGAAGGTCCCAATTATTACAGCCCGAACCAGGGTCACATGGGCCCAACCATTTCCGACATCATGTCCAAACCCGACGGCACGCAGCGCAAGTTGCCCGTGCCCCAGATTCCCAAGGTTGCGGTGCAGGACATGCTCAACCCTGCGGCCGGATTCTCTTCCATGAACTCGTCAGCCAACAAT